ACCTGGACAGGCTGGAGAGCTGGGCGGAGAGGAACCTACTGCAGTTCAACAAAGGCAAGTGCAAGGTCCTGCACGTAGGCAGGAATAACCCCAGGCACCAGTCCAGGCTGGGGGTTGACCTGCTGGAAAGCAGCTCTGCAGAGAAGGACTTGGGAGTCCTGGTGGACGTCAGCAAGTTAAGCATGGGCCAGCAATACACCCTTGTGGCCAAGAGGGCCAATGGTATCCTGAGCTACATAAGGAAGAGTGTTGCCAGCAGGTGGAGGGAGGTGATCCTGCCCCTCTACTCAGCCCTGGGGAGGCCTCCCCTGGAGTGCTGGGTCCAGTTCTGGGCTCCCCAGGACAAGAGAGACATGGCCTGGTGGACGTCAGCAAGTTAAGCATGGGCCAGCAATACACCCTTGTGGCCAAGAGGGCCAATGGTATCCTGAGCTACATAAGGAAGAGTGTTGCCAGCAGGTGGAGGGAGGTGATCCTGCCCCTCTACTCAGCCCTGGGGAGGCCTCCCCTGGAGTGCTGGGTCCAGTTCTGGGCTCCCCAGGACAAGAGAGACATGGCACTACTGGAGACAGTCCAGCGGAGGGCTACCAAGATGATTAGAGGGCTGGAGCACCTCCCCTATGAAGAAAGACTGCAAGAGCTGGGCCTCCTCAGTCTGGAGAAGAGAAGACTGAGAGGCGATCTCATCAACGTGTACAAGTATCTGAAGGGGGAGTGTCAAGAGGATGAGGCCAGCCTCTTCTCCGCGGTGCCCAGCAACAGGACAAGAGGCAATGGGCACAAACTGCAACACAGGCAGTTCCGTCTGAATCTGAGGAAAAAGTTCCTCACTGTGAGGGTGACAGAGCATTGGAACAGGTTGCCCAGAGAAGTCGTGGATTCTTCTTCTCTCGAGATATTCAAAATCCACCTCGACACGACCCTGGGCAATGTGCTGTAGATGACTCTACGTGAGCAGGGTGGCTGGACTAGATGATCTCCAGAGGTAGGTACCTTGTAGATCCAACCTTGGCCATTCTGTGATTCTGTGATTCTATAACAAAAATACTCCTAAATACTAGGTTATCACAGACTTTTCGTAACCCTCACATATGTCTTGAAAAAGTTAAACTTGACAACTGGGAGCTTTACAAAACTTTGATGTGGGCAGATATGAAGCACAGAAAAGCCATCAGGAAGCCTCAGTGGCAGGAAAGGAACATCCTTTTCAACTGATCAGGAGAAATGAAACTATATGAAAAGATGAACAGGCTCGTATGCAATTTAGCATAAGTAAACAAATGCCCTACCTACGCCCTTATAAATGTGAAATTTGAATTCCAAAGTTAAAAAGCTTCCAAAGTAAAGCTTTACATTTCCAAAATAAAAGTAGAATATGCATTAGAAAAAAAAAAAATTTAGATCTCTATATACAACATGTAAAGCAAAGTAATTTCAGAGTTCTGATAGATTACATAACTAAGTCAATTTAGCAGGTATAAGAATCCCTTTGCAATAAATTTGAAAATTCTGTTTTTTTTTTTAGCATTGGAATGCTCTGAATGTATAATTTTAATTCTATAAGAAGTTGCAGATGACATAAATATGAGAACAGAATAATTGTGTCAAAAATAATGATAATGTTTGAACATTAGAAAATATTCAAACATTTTTTTTAATTTATTTTTCAAATATTCCCAAAAACCACAGGCTGATCATTATTCCATCAGATTTATGTGGCTTGTACTTTGGGCTGCTATGGAACCCGATCTTTGAAGCAAAATAGGCCTTTGCACCAAGATTATACGCCACTAGACTTCTGAGATGTGCAAAGTCCTGGGAACCCCAACTTCTTCCAGTAATACAGCTGATGAACAGCGTTTAAGACAATTAACTGTCTTTCACCTTGTTTCCTACAGCCTGCATTATGCAGAAGTCAGGACGGAAAAATCACATAAGTCTCTCTTTATTTGGAGTAGATCAATTTATGCATTACAAGTTATTTATTACTATTTTGCCTATCAATACACTTTCTTTAGTAGACATGGACATAGGAGAAAGAGCAGGTATAGTTACCATTTTTAAAGATCTTCATGATTACAATATAAAGGAGGAAAAGGATACTGTTCAGAAGACAGAGTCAAAAACAAATACTGAGGTCTTTAAAACAACAGTAAGTGTTAGAGCCGACTATAGAGAAAACTAATTAAAATTCCATGGCTAGCAGTATGTTAAAGGCTATTGTAGAGAATTGCTAAAGTGAAAAAACAGCCAAACAGCCTGGAAAAATCATATGAACACCTTAAATGAGCGAACTCCCTTTTTTTAAAGTCATATTTTTCAGAATGAAAAAGGAGAGAAGGGAAAGGCGATGAAGAAAAAGACATGTTTCTAAGAGCTGTAGCACTGTGTACTGATTCCCCTCACAGATCCCTTGCTTTGCTACAAAATGAGAATTTAGTAATATGCTTTCTGTCCCATATAAACGTACTAAGCACAAAAAGACAGAGCTACAAAAGTAAGCTAGTACATCTTTTCTGCATTCAAACAAATTTTTCATTCATTTTGTTATTTTGAATATTACTCTTATCATGACTTTACAGTTGAAAATAGTTATGGCAAATGCAAAAAACATTTACCGAACCAAACAGTAGCTGAAGGTAGTTATAAGTGAGTAGCTAGAAACATCTATTTGAAAATGCACATACACACTTCTTATATTTAGTTCATTCTATCCAGGAATGTGCAAAGAGGACAGATGCCTACAAAATGCTACTAAACAAAAGTTATCTATCAAGAAAAATTATATCCTTGACCACAGAGAGCAGCTGCTCTCTATCACAAATTTTAGGGACCTACCTACTTTTGTGAGTGTGACCAGTGCAAATTCAGTGCTCATTGACAGAGCTAGTACTTACATTTGTGCAGCTTACCTTTTCTTGAAATCAGTAATTCAAACAAAAACATGTAAGTATAAATATCAGTACACAAAATCAGTATGATACATACAGTTACATGAACTAAAACCTCACTAATAGATAGGTGTTAAAACTCAACTATTAATGAACCATACTATTTTATTGAGAGTCTTTCTTATGAGTTCTTGCAGGGATTGATTTTGGTCCTACCACTGTTACCACTGGTTTGGAAGAAAGTATCAATGATTGCTAATGAAGTGTGCAGATGACTCAAAGGCTGGATGACTAACGAGTAATGAAGGGAAGTGGTCACTAATAAAGATCAATCACTAGTTAGGAGAAATGCTCGTACATCTACACGCAAAAGAATCTAAGAGCAGGAATACAATTCATAGTAAATGTGTATTTTGGAAAGCAGTAACCCTGGGAAGCAATTAGGAAAAAAATGAAACACAGTTATGAGCTGTCAGTGGGATGTTTCAAGAAAAAGCCCAGGCAGAATAACTGAATACAATATAACAGGAATACAGGTTTCAAATGGAATTGGTAAGACACTTAGTAGTGCACCTGACATCCATAGGATTTGAAAGCCTGAGCAGGGTACTGGGAAGAAATGAAAGACAGGCTCAAACTCTAGAAAATAGGGCTTTACTGCAAGTGAGTATAAGAGGTTGATTTAAATTTTACAAAAAAGAAATTTGAGAGATGATACATCTACAATCTATAATTTGTAAAAGAAGAAGTTGTACAAGACTATGCTGTTCTTAGTGTATAAAGAACTTGTGGCTGAAAGTGCAAGTCAGCCATGTTCTAAATATACATCAGTTATGTATTTTTTAATGAGTGGAATAAATGAAATAATAGATGTCAGAAGACTTTCTGTAGCTTGGAAATCTTCATATAAGAATAGAGCTTACGTTATAGTTCAACTTACTTGATGAAATTCTCTGGCTTAGAATATGTCATATTCTAGCAGTAGGTTAGAAGCACACCGGCATTTATATCTCTGTACTTATGAAAATTCTAGCTTGAAATGTTAAAATAAATCTTAGCAGCTAAAAACTTCTTATTAAAACTGTTGGAAAGTGAATTATCTTTGGATATCTACAGAATCATGTGGCAGTTTCACAGCAGTCTCACTTCTGGCAAGCTTTTCATTTGTGTTGAAATTAAAATTACTATTTCAAAATTATAGTAAAGAAATTACTGAACGCTCATTTTTATGTAACTAAGTATATGCAATTAGAAAAAGTCAATAATACCTCACCCACCACTGTGAATTTGTCAATAATGGTAATGAAAAAAAAGTTGCTTAAAACGTTTCCTCTGATCTAGTTCAAATGATTACTAAATTACATTTCTATTTGATTAAAAATTTCAAGGTAATAATCAAGTAACAACTCTGATGAAAATAAATGGCAAATACTTTCCATGAAAGTATTAGCATGGTGTTAGACTAGCAAATGAAAGCAATGAATTTTGCCAGCTAAAATCTTCAGGCTAATAACCAGACCAACTTCATTTGAATCAAACACCTTTTGTCCTCTCATATGTTGCTGAACTAAACTGTTTTGTCAAGGATCCAAAAATTTTAGTCAAAAATAAGCAAACTTAAATTACTAATCAACTGAGATAACTCCAAAATTAGAATAATTCACTTACAATTTAGATGGGAATAAATATCCATGACTGAGTTAACAACTGTAGTTTATTCATGACACAGTAATTGCTAAGTAACTGTAACATATACTACAAACTGTTCATTACTGTTGTAATTAGTATAGCTTATTCTATTAACTTTCATGTACAACTGTATTTCTGGAAATGCAAATGTATTTGCTTACCAAGATGGTGGTAACAATTAAAGAGCGATTGGATAGGGAATCTGTGATGTTTGCTGGTTTTCCTTTCTGATTCTCTGTCATGTTAAGGCCACTTGCTGGATCCCAAGTTCCAATCTATAAAACAGTATAATACTATGTAAATTGTCCATCAGTTATACTTCAACATCTAGGAAAGAATACTAGAAGTAAAAAGTTAAGATTGCTAACACTTACTATTCACCCCTGCTCCATTTTCCTCTGTCATTATATTTAAAGTCTGCTTGTTCAAAACACGATTTACTGTATTTCAAAGTGTGTTTAGTGAAGGGTGACATTCAGGGAAAAAATAATGCAAAGAATGCCTGAAGTCATTCTGAATACTTAATTTTTTCCATTTAAACTTTCATTCTTCAAGATAAACCACATCTGATGATAACTTAATAGCTGGGTGAAAATTTATTTGCAGAGCACAGAGCATCCTCTCTCCAGAAGGATTTATCCTTTCTCTCATCAGAAAAAGCAGAAGGGCACAAAGAAGTTTTGGGGAAAATGTAATGGGGAAGACTGAAAGTAGATTAAGTGTAATAACTTAATTGTTTTCCTGATAAATGTTCAGTACATATATCTTTTGACATTCTGTACCTCGAATTTCTTATTCCAGTAAACTCAACATGATTTTTATCTAAGTAAGAAAGTCCAGGGTTATGCTTTAAGGTTCAGGTCAAGGACAATGTTACATACTCTGAAATATGTAATGGGTCATATGCTTACATTATTCAACTTCAATTTCATTACTATGAAACGAAAACTGGCAAGCAACAAACACAACAATCCATCTTTAGACATCAGAATTTTTTGGCTAAAGAAAAAAAAAGCTCACTCCCTTTCTTTTTTTTTTGCTTTTAGAAACAAATTTAGATTAAAAATGTTTCAAATTGTGAGCAACATTCATGCTATAAGGTAAAGATTATTTAAATCTAAATCAGGATAGTAATTACATAATTCTGTCAGGTAGCATACTTAATTACTGACATTTATTTATTTACTTGGTTACTTATTTATATTTATATAAGCGCATATAGATTTTTTTTTAATATCCAAACTTTTCAGAGTGATTCCTGAGGAATTTATACTTTTCAAGTGACTTGTTACCACAGAGCTTCCAAGTCAGTTCAGGATGCAACGTGGTAGGGTTTGAATTGAAAGTGTTACATCTCTAAAACTGAGGAGAGTGGGGAAACAGAGGAAAGGGACGGGGGTGGTGGGAGGAAGGAATGAGGGAGAGGTGGTAGAGAGGGATAAAGACAGAGAAAGATAGAGTTGCAGAGAGAGAGAGGGAGGGGAAGAGACAGTGTAGAAGAAAGAAGGGAGAGTACGATGGAGAGAAATTCAGCACAGCTTGAATTAGGAGATTATTTTGACAAAAACTTTGACAGAGCTCTTTTAAATTAGAGGACTGGCTAACATGTATTCTCTCTACTCAGAAGTGTCCTGCTGTAGGGTTGGAGAATTACTCCTGGACTGAGGAAAAGCAGGCTTTATGTTCTTTCAGAATAAGTAAGTTTTCTTCAAAGGCATTTTTGCTTCAGCATCAATTTCTCTTTCTCAGTAAAATAACCTATAAGACCAAAATGTTAACTAAGCACTTCAGTCTAATGAAGACATTAATTTTCCTTTTCTTAATTTCACCCCACTATACCCTAAAGAAACTGCTCTGGTTTTGCTTATATATACAATATATCTTTGAATCTCTGCAACATTCCCCACTATTCTTTGCTAACATTTTTCTAACTCCTAAATTTTTCTAATGCATAATAACTAATTCTTACTGCTCTTGCCAAAGCTTGTCAGTGCATTTAGTTGAAAAATTAATATCATCACATTTAAAGTCAAAATTAACTATGAAAGGAGGAATAACAACTTCCTTTTCTGTGAGCTTCTGCATGCACTGCTCAAGCGCATACTGGTTGTTTTTAAACAGGCATATCCTTTTATGAATATTTATCCTGTTGCCTCTTATGTATCTTCATTATTACTGTTTCCCAAGATCCTTTTTTTCTATCATATGTTTTAGAGTACTGTATTTCAGTTGAACGCTATTTCCTTCCCATATTTCTAATCTCTGTAGATCCTTTCATTTTATTTTTATATTTTCACGGGTGTTCATATCTCTTAATATACTGTCAATTGAGAATTAAATTTAAATGTTGTTGTGTTTCTACTTTCATATCAAACTGATAGCAAAATAAAAGCATACATAATACAGATCCAGATGGCAGATACCATGTCTTTAGCCCAGTGAATATCCCTTATGCAGTTCCAGTCAACCCAGAAAGTTAACAAAGCCAACTCTTTTTTTTAATAAGATTGCAAAGTAGTATCAAATATGTTACTGAAATGCAAATATATTGCATTGTCTGCATTTCATTAATTAATTTATTTTACACTTCTGCCAAAAAAGAAATTAAGTACATTGTCAGAATTTTATTTTCCAGAAAACTCATACTGCTTGATGGTTCTCATATGCCATCCAGTGTCTTTAAAGCCATTCTGGATTCCAGAGACTTCCTTTCCTCATTTTCTTCAGTTTTCCTCTTTTGTCATTTATTTACATTTAGACTTTGCAGCCACTACTGACTCATTTAGCTACTCCTACACCATGTATCCTTCCAATTTTATTTCCAGTAAGGAAGACAGGCTGCATTGCACCTATTCTACTCATACACAAACAACTAGCTTTGCAAATCTAATCACAGCTTTATAATCTTTCTTTTTTTTCTTAATCCCAGTACTTCCATCATGGAATACTCATGGGAAGACTCTTTACTATCAATCTGTTGCCAAATGTTTTTAAAAATAGTTCAGTTCTTCAGTTACAGGTTTGCCACTGGACATTTTCAGAAACGTTGTTACCTACTTTAACACGGCAAAGCAAGTTCACGGATTATGAGCTTTTTGGAAATTTTCCTAGTAAGAGAAATAATATCCTAAAATGGGTATTGGAGAAATAGGTTTTTGAAAAATATATTGTTTACATTAACTAACTTCTCTATTCAATTATACATAAGAAAAAAAAGGAAATGCAATCCCGCAGCATGGTGACTTCCCTAAGTTTTCCTTCGCATGTGTGGGGACAATATTACTTGGAGCAACACCTGCTAAAGCTTTATCTGAAGACGAAGGGCTTACAGAATACTGGATACGGTGGCTAAACACAAACTGCAGGGCAGATGCAAACTGTGGCATGTACAGAACCTTTGTTCGCTGACACTAACAATGAGAGAAACCCTGCAGATTCCTGCGCTTCCTCTCCATGGCAGCATGGTAGGAGAAGAGGAGGAGAATGATCTGGGCTTAGATCATCATGGAGTCATGTAGCTAGGCGAAAGATATGTATGTGCTCCCAGAGCCCTTAGTTCAAATAGAGCCAATATTAGGCTACACAAAAAGAGCCCCTTCTCAATCCCTGGATTTCTCACTCCATCTCTGTAGAAGAAAATCTGACAGCAGAAGACATACAAGCCTGTTAGGCTCTTTTTCCTTAATTTTTTTAGTGCCACTTACTAATCAGAACTTTGTATTCCAAGAAAAGAGTAACAGTTCCCTTTTAAAACACAGAAAATAGCTAAAAAATAGCTATTTTGTTTCATTTTGTTTTATATCATGTGATTCTTCCTGAGTTAAAAAGATGCAAAGAAAATATAAACACACATACCCACAGGTTCACACATGAGGATAGATGATAGGATTGGAATCACCACTAAACCTAAACTCAACATAAAGTGAAGATAAAGTATTTTAATGCACGTTTCCAGTACTAGCTTTTCATTCTCGTCCAGGTTCTCTTGAATCTAAGGATCTGTCTAGAAGCTGCACACAGTTAAGGAGCTGCTAATCTTCACACATCAGAATAACAGCTTTTATTAGAAGACTTCTCTCTTTGAAGGTAGGTATGGGCTGAGAATGGATACAGTTTCATGTAACACATAAAAGCTTTTCTTGAAACCCTGTATATTAAAATGCCTTTATATGGAGTCTCAATTTAAAAGTTCTTATTAAACTCCTTATTTATTTTTTCTGATGAGTGTTATCTCTATGATCTAGAGTGCTAGGATGAAAACCTGTTTGCGCTATCTTCAATCATTTTTAAATATTATTTCCCAAAAATATCTTTAAGTAGGTACCTATAAAAAGTTTGCTTTTCAAGTTGTTCTCAGCATTCATCTAATGTGCTCTCCCTCAGGTCTGTCTTCATTGCAAGACAAATTTTCTGAATCCAAACATCCCAAATTTTCTGGTCCCAAACATTCAAGTATGAGTGCCTGGGGACTTAGCATGCCACTTCCATTTCTGCAGAGGAAAACTTGATACATGAAGAGGAATGAGGCTGGCAGGTACATGTAGATCATTTAACACTCTGAAATTTGGCTGAATTAAACACTGTTTATCCCTTTGTTATGGACTTCCATGAAGACAGTCACACACTATGAAGACATCTACTCAAAAGGTCCATAGGCTAAGAACGTCCTTTGAAATCAAACACCTTAATGTATAGCCATATTTTCAAAAGTATCCAGAACCAATGAGCCACTTGGGGGTTAACTATAGATCCTGTCTCCCATATATTTCTGAATAACAGAAGTAATGCCACTACTTATTTTTTGCAATTTGTTTCATAATGACATTTATAGTCTTCTGGTGGATACACACAATAATAGTAAGAGAAAAATCCAGAGCTCTTTAATTTTAATGAGACCTTAGCTTGCAAAGGCATCACTAGGATAAATGTATCTCACCAAATATTTAAGTTGTCAAAACTGATGTTTTACTCTCTTTTGAAAAAAGAGATTTTGTATCAAGATTATTTCTAAAACATGATCCTCTTAAAAGCACAAATTTATTCTCAGTATACAATTTGATTTTACTGTAAATAGCATTTTATCCAGGGAAAAGAATTTAAGTTTCTTTTGTGAATTTTTTTTTAATGTTTCACATCACTTTCCAGGTAAACATCCTACATACCTTTTCAAGACCTTCTTCCTTAAGGCTGATTACATCTAAATCAAAATCTGTCCTTAAGCCATTAGTTTTGTTGAAAGTTATCCTGCCTGTGAGGCCTTCCCAATGGGCCTATGAGGAAAGAAAAAACAATTTCCATAAATAAATACTATTCCCTTCCCTCTCCCCAAAAAGAACAAATTTTATTTCTGTCAAATGGGAACCATTAATTATTCATTCTGTCTAAATAATTTACCTTGTGGTAGATTTTTAAAAAGTATCACAGAATCACAGAATCGTTTAGGTTGGAAGGGACCTCTGGAGATCATCTAGTCCAACCTCCCTGCTCCAGCAGGGTCACCTAGAGCATATTTCCCAGGATCACATACAGGCGGGTTTTGAATA